AAACTAATGAGATTATTATGGAATTTTTCGTAAGGATTCAAAGTAACATGAATAACTCAACCGTCCAAAAGAATAAGGATAATTTTTATTGCCAAATATTTCTATTATTAATATGACCCAACAAAGAGGGCGTGTGAAAAAACTGAAAATAGACATATCAAAGCCGTCCATTGCTGAATTTGGCTTACTTAATTTGTAGCTATGCAAGGAATTTTAAGTTTTGCTGAACGATATTGGGTAACCATTTATTATGGCCATGATTGGTAGCTCAATAAGCTAGCTTATAGCTTATTTTGTTAGCTTATAAATTTATTGTATTCAAATAAGTCTCGTTTCGTAGGACGAACGTTTTTAAAAAGCTCGAATTTATTTCATTAAGGTTATGTTTGGTAAACTATCTAATAAGCTAGTTGATAGCTCATTTGTAATTTTTTAGCTAATAACTTATAGCTTATGAGTTATAGCTGAAAAGTTATAAAAGCGTTTGGTAAAATTAGCTGATAAGCTAGCTGGAATAAAAAATTCAACTATCTTATTTGAAAAGTTACCTAAAGAAGCTTATTAAATAAGCTCGAGCTTTTTAAAAAGCTCGTCCTACCAAACGAGACTTATTTAAATACAGAGAGCTTGTAAGCTAACCAAATAAGCTATAAGCTAGCTTATTTGTCTACCAAACATAGCCTAAGTTTCCTTGGATAACTTTTCAAATAAGCTCGTTGAATTTTTTATTTCAGCTAGCTTATCAACTAATTGTACCAAACACTTTTATTATATAAGCTAGATTTTCAGTTATAAGTCATAAGCTATAAACAATAAGCTCAAAAATTACATAAGTTAGATTATCAGCTATCAGCTAGCTTATCAGTTAGTTTTACCAAACATAGTTGTAATTTTTGAGCTTATAGCTTATAACTTATGACTTTTAGCTGAAAAATTAGTCTATATAATAAAAGTGTTTGATAAAATTAACTGATAAGTTAGATGCAATAAATATTTCAACTAGCTTATTTCAAAAGCTATCCAAAGAAGCTTATTAAATAAGCTCGAGCTTTTTAAAAAAATTCATTCTACCAAACGGAATTTATTTGAATATAGCGAGCTTATAAACTAACCAAAAGTACTAAAACATTATTTTTAAAGTACTAAAAAGTCTAAACCCTTT